AGCAGTGAAAGGAAAAGATTGCAAGGAAAGACAGGTATAGTTCATTTGAGTATTGTGAGATGGAACCTCTTAGGAAGAAACATTTAGTTACAAGGAGAAAAGAAAACAGGTAGATCGGGTATAGATTTTTGCATTGAACAGTATAGAAATAAAATAAGAAAAGGTTCCTGTTTTACATGTTGTGTTTGTAATCGATTACTTTATAAGAGATCAGTTCACATTTTTGGCAAAAGTAAATATTCGTGTCAAAATTAAACGGTCTCTTAGTTGGATAAGAGTTCAATGCCTTCGACGCCACGGTAAAGGAAGCATATCCACAGCTCATAAATCATGCCTAAAGTCTTGAAGCATGTCTAGAGCTCACAAACATGCCTTAAGTTTTTTTTATTATTTATTTTTATTTTTTTAACATGCCTTAAGTTACGAAGCATGCCCATAGCTCATTAAACATACCTCAAGTTATCGAAAAGATAACTTTAGGTATGTTTAAGTGCTTAAAGAAAAGTGAACAATGCGATGAATCTGAGAAACTTATATTAAACGAATGTACAATACAATACTTGGATACAATACATTCTTTACTCAAATTTCCGTTTTTTTTTTTTTAATTTTACAGTTTATTTTTATATTATATCTTAAAAAGTTAAAGAAAAATAAAAGAAATGCCTGTGGTCTAAATAAGGAGGTTTCCCAAGTTAAACTCTTTTGTGGTAGAGATTGTGCGTTTGTACTCATTTTTAGCCTGCGTGGAGGTGCAAAAAGGGCAGGGAGACGACCCTTTCGACGCTTGCTACACAGGCTGCTGATTTTTGTGCAGCAATCAATCAAAAAGAACTGCAAATCACATTTCATTTATATATATATAGGTGGATTTCTGAAAACGTTACCGCCAAATAGACCTCTTTCGGTAAGCGGTCAACTGTAATTATTACAACTCAGAGTACAGCGAAAAAAGCAATTCTCTCATTTCCTTCTTTCTTTCAATGCAAATCCTCACTCTTCAGTGCTAGTTTTCCTTTCCTTTGCCTTCGTAAGTGTACTTTTCGTCCTTTTCGGACGCATAAATACCTACATTTAGGCCCAGTTTCACTAAAATGGCTGCAAAATTCGCTAGGTTCCTTCTCAAAATCCGGCTTGATACAGTATCTACTAACAGGAAAGGACAATGATGAATAAGACGCCAGGAGCAATAGTCAAACGATCGCACCTAGTGTCTGGAGCTGATTCAGTTAACACATATACCGGAGTCAATTTGCTATACAAGAGATGTTTTTTGACAATAAAACTAACTGCTTGTTTGTTTTGGGTTTTTGGATACTAAGAGATTGCTTGCGCCGAAAGTCAGTTGCCATTAAAGAAAAAGTTTGCCTAACATCATTTTTCATACAAGTTGTGCATCATGCAATGGCACGTGTGCTCTGATTTGAAACAGGAGAAGATTAGCGCGCATGCGAATTTTATACAGTGGAACCTTCATGCAACAGACCTCTATATAACGAAGTCCTCGGTATAACGAACGATTTTCTTTACCCCAGTCATATTAAGATATATGAAAAAGAACCTTGGTCCTTCGTTAAATCGAGGTTCCACTGTAATCAATCTGAGTAACATCACAGAAAACTGCTATGCAACCTTTAAAGCTTCGTTTACATTAAACTGCAAAACAAAAATTTTAGCGTAAGTGCGCGCGAGCATTCCAACAAAAGGTCTGGAGCGAGGCTGAAAACGAAGAGGGAGATGGGGAGAGATGCCCTGCAGACGTGTAAGGCTTGCGCGCTTCGGGCGTGTGAGACTTTTATGCTACGCTTAATCGTTTTTTTTTTTTTTAAGGAAAAAAAATCTACAGTTTTGCAGTCTACGTTTTGCTTGGGGCGTGTGAGACTTTTATGCTACGCTTAATCGTTTTTTTTTTTTTTAAGGAAAAAAAATCTACAGTTTTGCAGTCTACGTTTACACGGCACCAGATGAATTTTCTACTTGCTAAAAAATTTGACCGGACAGCTCGTTCGTATGGAACCGTTCAATATTCTCAATCGGTTTACACAGGACTGGCCAGCCAAATTGAGGTTTCACCTTTGTTAGTGGTTTTACAAATCTGTGTATCTATAATGTATTCTGCCAGCAGTCATGCAGCAAGGCTGCACGCTGCGCCGGTCAAATTTTCGACCGTACCGGTTAAAAGTAAGCTCGATTTTGGCGTTCAAATTTTCGAACGGCTAAGCGTCTAATAAGTTTTTGTATGGTTTGCGTGGTTGAGTGTGAAAGGAACACCTAAGCGCGAATTTTAAACCGGTCGTAAATTCGCCCGATGCCGTGTAAACGCTAACTGGCAAACTAATAACGCCCAACTGAGGAGCAGAACAATAATGTAAATGTATAATATTAATAATATTAATTATAAAATCAATATTAGATTAATAGCTTATTTTAATCTTATCGGATGTTACTGAGGGCCTATGGTTGTAATACTGGTAAGCAGTGATTTCACTCAACTTTATATACTTCATTTGTTGCTGTTAGTCTAATTTTGCCCTCAACATAATTCCACGGAAACAAATCAAGTGGTTGTCTCGTAAAACACTTCAACATTGCTGGGAGTAAACTTGTAAGATCCTGCATAAAATTTACAGGAGTAACCAGATGCAGAGTACCCAGGGGGAAGGGGAAATGATGTGCCACATTTGGTCTAGGAATTGCGGTAACCTTCAGCTTTGTACGTTAACCACAAGTCGTGTCCATTACCAAACGCTGGTCCTCTATCAGAACATCTATATATAGCGTTGCTGTAATGACTTGACTTGGTGTGCAGTTTAACAGGAGCGTAGCCATTGATGTTATATAACGAGAACAGGAACGATTTACTGGAATAGACATAGCGGCAAGAACCTATGAAAACATCATTAAGATTATTGAATGATTTTTGCACCTTTGAGGTTTTTGTTGGAGTGCTTAAATTTTTTTGTTTTGTCTTCAAAGCTTATTACAGAACCGGTCAGAGCTTGATTTTTTGAGTTTTGTGGATAATCTCTCTCTATATAAATAAAATTGCGTTTGAAATTCTTCTAACTAGTCTCTTTAGAAAATTTTGCGTGAAGGAAATTGCTTCGGAGTAGCCAGAAGGCTGCGTCTTGAAAGAAGTATTTCTTGAACGCTATTGGGTGACAAGATAAAAAGTGTGTACGTGTATATTTAAAAAATGTTTTAGTAAGCGTGGGTCTGCGTCAAGAATTGACGCGCTCTTAAACCTTTCCCCCTTGTACACAGTTGTATCGAAAAACGAGATCGAGGGAAACGCGCATTATGCGCGTTTTCCTCAATCTCGTTTTTCGATACAACTGTCTACAAAGGGGAAAGGTTTAAAAGCGCGTCAATTCTTGACGCAGACCCAAGGAATGTCCATATGTGTTAAAACACATATGGATATTCCTTTCCTTGTAGAATGTAGGATGTTTGTCACATAGACCTAGTTTAGTTTCCTTAGCTCCCACGAGTCTCCTGTAGCCTAGAGGCTAAGTATGAAGGTATATCTATGACAAAATTCAATAACCTAAAAGTGAAAAGAAACTGACAGTGAAAATATACTGAGTCAAAGTTGGTAAAAAATGAGCCATGGTAAAAGGAAGAATTACTGAAACGGCCACAACAAATAGGAATCACGCAAAAAGGCTTAACGCCAAACGGGCACCACACGCACGCTAGAACTGTTGAGATGTCTAACGATTTCTCAGAAAGTTCTCTGGCATATTTATTTTATCAATAAAAGCCGATACCAGAAATTTCAGTCACAAATATCAGCAAAATTTTTTACGAGACGCTCTTCTTTGTAAACATTAGGGTCTACTTAAGCGCTGATTTCGCCAAAAATTATTTACCAGCAATGAAATCGGAATATTTCATATTACTGCTGAATGATATCTGTTGTTATTTCCAAAGTTTCTGAGCCATCGCGTTAAGAACGAAAAAGTTATGACGAAACGTTCGTAATGAGGGAAACCAGCATCACATTAGCCTTCGAAAACGGTCGACCCTTATGCATCGCTCCACGTTGCCAGGTCCCAGTTGACTTCTGTATTAGCTTTACAGGTCACGCTTTTATGCAAAGTGCTAGAAACTTAACATAAAGTGTGACCATATTCAAGGCTACCTCCATGCGGTTTGTTTGAATCTTTTTCGGTCACTTGCCACTAATGTCAGTTCAATTTTTCACTCTAGTCTATGCAGGTGTTTCTGGTACAAATCAAGGCATTTTTTCCAGGTCTCATTTCCAAATTAACAAAAATTCTGTTTTTTTATTTACAATACACATCCGATAGGGCAATATTAACAGAATTAGCTTCGTCTTATAGCTTCCGAAAGGATATAGAGATACTGAAGAATCTAAGACTAGTTTAGGGAAAAAAATGTTACTATGAGATCCTTCCGTTACAAATACTGTGTAATGCAGAAAATCAGTCGGCTATAAAGATATAACCTGTGCATTCCTAGTGACCCTGTGCGACAAAAACTGTCAAGCCATAATAATCACTTTTCCAAGTCTAACCACAAAATATGTAACTGATACTTACCGTGTGATGGGCTCGACCAAGACTTGTCTGTGTATCCACCAAATATGTAACTACCGACTTGGACGATGGTTACAGTGGGACCCTTTCCATCACATTTGCTGTGGAATGTTGATGCCGCCCAACCATCTGTCTTAGCGTGCCAACACCTGACAAACCTGCTGCGGTCTGGACTCTGAAGGACTGGGTCTAAATAGGAATTCAACTGGCCAAGGTACTTGCCGTTAAGGTTACCGAGAATGCTTGATACCCTGAGCGCACCTACACGAGAGCAAAAGAGAATGAGGTGAGAGATCGAATGCCATGAAAATTTTTTGAAATCTATTCTTGGCCCTGTGTCATACTGCGTGGATATTTAAAGGATGCCACCTCATTGGTCGGTTTGAGAGGTGTCATGTAATTTTAAACTTGGCGGGTAATTCATTTCGCTGCCGATTACGCACAGCAAGCAACATGACATGCGAACTCGGTATTACTTTCGTCAACGAGTCAGAAGATTTCTTCGTGAATAAAATGTGGCAAGAGAAGCCGCCGACGAGCAAAGTTGTCCTGTCTTGCGGGAATCGCTGCGGAAAGCGGTCAGGTCCCGACTCGACGAAAATTGCTAATTGACGTCTCCACTACATCAGTATAATATATAGATTTAGCCAGGGTTAAAAGCGAGGCTCCCATTAATAAATTTATTATTTAAATCAAACAATAAACTTGTATTCCACAATTCAGCTAGCTTTAGAGCACATTTATGTGACTTTTGAGGGAAAGGCTAAGTGATTTTAGAGAAAAATAATTTGCAAACAGCTCAAGAGTGAACCAAATCTTACATCGAGTTGATAGTCTCATATGTACACCCCAAAACTGGTAATCATCTTCGATCACATTTAAGAGTCATAATGAATCTTGATCACCGTAGATCAATTAGGCCTGGAAAAAAAATCAGGCCGAATTTTCTGCGTTCTACAAGATTACTTTGCAAAATCTTGCCAAAAAATCTGGGTGCGTGGAAACCAACCTTTTATACCATTTATACATCATATCTGAGGTGAAACAGTACTATGAGGCACTGTTTTTATCATACAGACCTTGTACAGAAAGCAGTATTTCACAATTTGCAATACAAATTGCACTCATTCAATATTCAGGACGATGGAAGTACGCGTGGGCTCACTAGCTAAGCAATCCGGTTCTCACTTTTGTAGTGCGAGCTGTGGCGAGTGTTTGAATTAACAATTAATGGATGAGGCTGAGTATCTTATGAAGAATACGGCCGAGGCGGATAACACCCTCCGAGATCTCCATAATTCTTCATATGATACGAAAGCCGAATTCAATAATTGTTTTATTATTCATTCAAAATAATTCCAAGTTTAAAAACATTGATAGCTAAAACATGCTTACCTCCATCGATACATCGATGTTAAGTTCATCTTCGATAGTGCACGTTTAGGGTTGTTCAGCTCCGCAAATATTCTCCAAATAGCAGATGTCGCCCTTTGAGTTGTTTTCTCGCTGTTCTTGTCATGTTTTTAGCTATTATTTCGCCTAGTTCTTACTCTTGAAACGAGTGAAATGTCCGCCATTTTTGTTTCCACAACCAAAACAACTCAACCTCGTCCCCAGGTCTTCTCGGTTAACGGTGCATTAACCTGCAAAAACGCTGCATTTTTGACGTCATTTCCTTGTTAAACACAAACTTCTTCCAAATTTGGTCATCAGCAACTGGTTATGGTGAATTATGCGTGTGCTTTTAGCCAATCAGAATCGGGGAAATATTTTGAATGAATAACAATGAACATTAACAGAGTTACGCTCCATCATAATAAAGAATTTATTATGTTTATTTTTTTATTTAATGGTTTAGCGCGCGACATTTTGAGTACTCCTGCAAGCGATGTTCACTGAACGACTGAAAACAATCGGCACAGCGATTAAAATTACAAGAGAGACTACTAACAATCAATAAAAGAAATATAATTCGGTGAAACATATACAGAGACAACAATTTTCATTCAGGAAGACAAGTATTAAAGTGTCTCTAAAAATCCTCAGTCTTCAAGCTTAAAGCTTAAGTTTATGTTTTAAGCCGGCTTCCCGGTGTTTGCATTTTTTCAAAGACGAACTCAAGGCAAGAAAATGGCTCAAAGCCTTCTTTTACAGCCAGAATTATAACTATAAAGTACGCTCGACTTCATTAAATTAGATACAAAAAACAAACATCAAATACAATAATTACTCAGGCTTACCACTCGAGATGCAGCTCCTGAAAGGTATCAAGTAAGGCCAGTATCGCTTCAGACTTTTCAGCCCTCTTACGGATCAAGCAAGGTAAAAACGAAAACGATGCCATCCGAAATCGGATTTCCGACTTTGACAAGCAACGCATTTCTCAACCAAAAACCCAATAAACAAACTAGCCATGGCTAACAGAAGACTCCTGATAGCAGCTGAATTTCATTTTGTACATCCAGTGGAAAAAGACAGCTAAAAACATCACAAGTTGACACAAAGCTCTGTCAGCTTCAGCTGTCAAAGTAAACAAGATTGAAGATGCTAAATAAATTTTGCGGATGAACTCACCTGTCAAATTTTGACCAATCAGAGCATAAAAATTGGACGTAGAGCGTGACCAACGCATGACCATGGTAAGAAAAGTCAAAAGCAACTGCCGCCCCTGCCTGTAACAGCTGGCTGAATTTTCGCGTCCGAAGTCAGTTTGAAATCAAAATTTTAATTGTGTGGCGCATAAACACAACATATTTCATGTGAATTTAAAAAAAAATTAACTTGAGCCTGCGATCACTTAAAAACTAGTAACTTGTCAGCGAATAACTTCAAAAAAATTCTTGACCTCGATTGGTCGACACCTGAGTCCGCGATATGGTCAAGTGCTACTGGTCAGCGGGTACCCTGTCTTGACGGGTTTGACAGCTGTCAATTGATCAAGACATTAATGTCCAATATGTGTGCATTATTAGTTTTTCTGTACTCCCAAACTAGCTAAAAGTATGGGATTGAACATTGTTCGCGATCTAGTAAAACAATTAAGTGGTCAGCGGACACCTTCCAAATAAATCACGCACCTCGATGAGTTGACACATGAGCCCGCGATATGGTCATGGCAAACTCGTCAGTGGCTATACTGTTTTGACAGCTGTCAATCGACCATATTGTGAATGTCCTATATAAAGGATGTGGACTTGGCAAGACACTCCTGAGATACCCCTCCCTTCCTTTTGATAGTCTCTCCTACCCCACCCGTACAATCTGTAGACGCGTACGCTCGGTCAATCACGTGACAACCAAACGAAAAGAGGTTAACCATATTCCATGAGTATGGGGCTCTGTCCCACGCAATCTTCCCGCGCGTGGGAGCCCCGCTATAAACAATCTCAGTACTAGTCAAATTGCTGTAAACGACAACTGTCTCTTCCGGCGACCTCCACGCAACGTTTAGATCTTAACGTAACGTGGACACGTAACGAGAAATACTTTCTAAGTGGGTTCAAACATGACATTTTTGGCCGCCTAACATTTGAATTCTGAATGGCGTTAAAGTACAATGTAGGCGTGCCGCTCTCTACAAAGACTAGACCGAAACCGGAAACCGCGCTTGACAAGTGTCTTGCACCCAGGGTGGACTGTTTCAAGGCTTGAAGCATCTGACCTGATTTATTTTCCCACAGTGATCGAAACATTCATCGCAAGAATGAAATAATGCAGTTTAAAACTCTAAAGAATAATTCTTAAACGCAAGTGTGCTGTTTCTGAACGAGAAATATTTGTGAAAAAAGAGAAAAAAACATCTTGTAGATTAGCATAAACGACTGAAGCCAGCCGCTTATTAAAGGTTTCGTATTTCTCGTATTTATTACCCTTATTTGCTTTTTGGTTTTAACGGTTTGTCAGTATTCAAAATTCGTTACTTTAAAGGAGGCTTTTTGTTCAGGACCACATTTCGACGTCATCTAGCTGTGATCTATTACTGATTATTAAAGTCCAGCTAGTGATCTATTATCAATGCTGCGTTGTTCTGATTGGTTGAGCTACTGTTAAGCTATATGTTATAGCCCACCAGTAGCGAAAAGGGCGGGCTTTGAAAACCAAAACAATGGCGACTAAATCGCGTTTTGCTAGCTACAGTTGTTTTGTCTCGATATTATTGACCAACTAATTGGATTTTACTAAAACAATTATTCCTCTCGCCCTCATGGCCTCTTGAGTCAATAGTCCTATTGACTTAGAGCCCATTCGGGCTCGAGAAATAATTGTTAAATAGACGTACAGGCACATGGAGCAGCTCTCCTAACCCTAACTGGTTCGATAACCTAACCGCGAAACAATGGGAATAATGATAAACAATGATGTGTTATTGTTTTCTGCGATCAATGAAGAAACACCTTACGACCAGCTCCTACATTACTGACATGGAATCTATTTGTTTTGCACGCGAGAGGTTGCTAAGCACGAAAGAAGCTTCTTGATGTAGTATTATTACTTATATTGTCTATATTAAAATACCGTTATAAACTTCAGTAGTGGTGACAGCTTCCGCCTTTAATACTCCTGCACTCGCTGCAACACAGACGTAATATCCTATATCTTCCACTGTTATGTTTCTTATCACTAGCGAGCCGTTAAACTGCGCGCTGGCTCCGCCCAACAGGCAGTTGACCTCCTTGTTTCTTCCAGCTGATGACGGGTTGGGGATCGCCAGTAGCGCTACTTTTTAACATAAAAGTGTCACCTACCCACGCGAAAACTTTTGCAGGTGGATTAACAGTGAAGCTAGGAGGAGAAACAACAACTAAGAGAGTTTTCTTTTCAACGCTTCCTAGCAGGTTTGATGCGGAACAGAAGTAAAAGTCAGAGTCGCCTTTGCGGGCATGTAGAATTTGTAATGCACTGTTGTTGGACTTCATCCTCTCCTGGGGTAACTGGCCCGCTGACTTTCTCCAAGAGACCAGTGGTGTAGGGTACCCAGTCACGTGACAAACTGGAAGGGTGTAACTTTTTCCTTCGATGGCGTAATGAGGTCCCGGATGGATAGAAGCGCGAGGATAAACTGCATAAAATATTAATTTTGTGAAATTTGGAAACCAGAATCAGCATATCATATAATCTAGTCTAAACTATATTTAAACAAGTTTATAATTGTTCTCAATTATAAAGCTCGGATGAAAATGACAAATTTGGTTTTCGTTTGGACTAAACATGCTAATTAGCTTAGACAAAACATGGAGTGCTCAGACCACTTCAAAACAACTGTAAATTTAACAGTTCTATAATTTCGCCTCTGTCTTGACTTCCCTGTGAAAAGATCTCTAGATTGTTTAAAGAAAACCCGGTCATATGGACCCCGTATTTACCACCAGTAGATGCTCATCTCGAAAGTTTTTGAGTGATAGTTAGGGACAGGATATAGGATGTTCTTACTCCAACAACACTAAGAAGTGAAAAAAGTGTAAACTGTGCACTTTATATTGTGACAGAAGAACTATCAACCCGTTAATCTCTCTTGTATGCCTAAAACGAATATTTTGGCTTCATATCTAAACTACTTACTAACTGATGGATAAGGAATGGATTTCTAACAATCGAATCACCCGAGTCACAACAAACTTACCATTCACTACAAGTTGTACCAGTGCATGCGTCTTTCCTAAGATGTTGACCGCTGAACAGTTATATTTTCCCGCGTCATTTCCTGCTACGTTTTTTAACAGCAACTTTCCTCCTGATACCGTTGAAGGACTTAATTGTGACTCACTGTTCATTTTACTCCATTGTATTGCAGGTTTAGGATTACCACTCACTGAACACTGAAACGAAGCTGATCCACCCTCGTTGACTGTCAGTGTTTTAGGGGACACAGCAACAACAGGAGCTGCAATCGATTCACCAGGTTCTCCTTTAGCTCCCGGCATGCCTGCAGGTCCCATGTCTCCTTTTTGTCCCTTGAGTCCAACATCGCCCTCTGGTCCCACAGGTCCCATGATTCCTTGCTTACCGGTCTTTCCTGGCAATCCCATAATACCCTGGTCGCCTTTATTCCCAGGTCTTCCCTTTGGTCCCCTTTTACCCCGAGATCCTTTCTCTCCCCTCGGTCCAGGTGGACCGGGAGGGCCTGGGAAATACGTACCACTTTGTAATATCAGCTCTGATAAAAGTTTATTTATTTCAACCATGGTATTCGCTGCGTTTTTATTTCCCGTCCTGTTCTGGATATTATCAGTGTTGCGCTTGTCTCTATGTAGTTTGGTGAGCTGATGGTCTAAAACAAGAAATTGCATATAATGAATTTGTCACATAACAATACAACAGTGGGGGGAGGTGTCTCCAAGGAAATCTGTGGTACAGTCCGCCTGCCATTATGACGTCACGTCTCGCGTCAGTGACTTTCAAAATGGCGAGCAAAGTGTTCATCGAAGAGACGGCTAAAAATTTCGATTTTATCACTGAAATACTATTCCGATTTCTTGGATTTGGAGATTTTTTAGCTTTCTATTGTCATAGAAAACTAGACTTAAGTAGTTCTTTGGAATGAAATGTCCAGTGGTGTAATGAATTTTAAAGATTCCTATCTATCGTCGGGCAAATTTTACGGGCAATCATGCCGACCGGTCACTCTTTTGAGGGCCAGTTCACAGCAATATTGAGCCGTTTAGACACAGCAAAAGGAGATTCTTCAAAGGATGTATTATACTTTAAATTGTGCGTATTAACAGCTCCTCAGAGGAACTGGAACCCCACATCATTCCTCTCAAAGTTCGCTTAGCTGTAGCGTTGAAAGAGGAAGCTAAATGACACGTATTTGTGAGAGACTGTGAGCATTGAATCTTGTTGCTTTACCGCATTTTAATAGTATATTGGGCATACACCTGTAACTCTGTAATTAAATCCCGAAAATCAATAACAGGTTTCATTTAATTATTTTTTGGGGGCAAACCCAGTGGAGATTTTAGNTTGGGCACTGGCAAAAATTTATGCACCGATAATTAAAGGCACAATTACGTGTTAATCACATCAGAACTGGGACTCCCATACAGGGAACCAAAGCTCCCAGATAGCATTGACATTTAACCTCTTCCATAAGGCAGGATGTAAAATCATCAAACCCAAATATTGCAAAATCAGCATAAATTCCATTTTTTCAGCTCATTGTATGGTTTCTTTGCAGCATCTGTTGGCACCTTTTACCTTCAACCTTTAATGAGGGTGGGGTGATTATGTGCCTGTTAAGTGTGCGTCAGCCATTTGGGAGTGGGATGATAGTGGAAGGAGGTACCTGTGCATTAGAAGAAATACCTACAGGCCCAGTTTGAGATCTGCAGAGGCTGACATCTCCATTACACTTGATACACTAGCAACAATCAATAAACTTGATACAATAATATCAATACACCTGAAACCTTTTTACCGGTCCAGGTAATACTCCCTTATCTGAAAACGACCCCAAAACCAATCATGGTTTTGAAAATGACCCCTGGCTGCAACCCCCCAACACCGCCCCCTCCCCCCCCCTCTTCAGTGTCACAGGTAATTTATGAGCATAATACCTTTGGATCCACAGGAAATCAGCACCTAAAGCATTGTTCCCTACCTTTTCTAAAGCTTCTTTCACCAGCTCATCTTCTAAGTTCTCTTGTATATGAACTAGAAACACAAAGCCAGTAAGGAAATGGCTAGCCTGCGTAGCTGGCGGTATTGTGTAGTAGTCGAGTGAGATTTGGCGGCGGAGCCGTTGTAATATAGTCGAGTGAGATTTGACGGCGGAGCCGTCACGAGCGGCGAAGCCGCGAGAAATACTGCCTGCCAGAGAACCATGATTTTTCGAATGCCGCCCACTTTTGTCACCTTGGCTGATCGTAATTAAATCAGCCAGTCAAAGAGAAACCTGCAATTTGAAACTTCCGATTATTTTCGCGCCAGACAGTTTAAAAATAAGAGTTGACAGGCTAAACACGACTCCTAAGCTCGTGATAATGTGAAACGTGACCTTGTGAGTTTGCTTGAACAGAGGTTTTTTTATTTTCTCGGCTCTCGCGCGAAGGTTACTAGCACTACACAGTACATGTATNAAAACTCCGGACTTACGCTTAAAATATATATTGATCCAAGTGTATGACTAGCAGGGTCAGCAGTAAGAATAAAGAAAAAAAAGGCCGAATGGAAAAATAGTGCTAAAAAGCTGGTGGAGCTGTATTTATCATGAATTATTTTATTATTATTTCGCATTATTTCGGGTCCAACGGGCCGACTCGATGAGGATAATCGATCGAACTAGCTTTACTGAATTTGGTGGAGCATTTGGAGATCAACAGAGGCTCACACTCGAAAGGAATGATATGAAGTTAGGCCCGTTTAATTAGCAAAAGAATGGATGAAATATAAACATGTGTGATCTCTGAATGGAACCTTCTATTCTGGAGACTAGACCTTGCCCACTTTAAGGTAGCCTGCGTAGCTGGCGGTATTGTGTAGTAGTCGAGTGAGATTTGGCGGCGGAGCCGTTGTAATATAGTCGAGTGAGATTTGACGGCGGAGCCGTCACGAGCGGCGAAGCCGCGAGAAATACTGCCTGCCAGAGAACCATGATTTTTCGAATGCCGCCCACTTTTGTCACCTTGGCTGATCGTAATTAAATCAGCCAGTCAAAGAGAAACCTGCAATTTGAAACTTCCGATTATTTTCGCGCCAGACAGTTTAAAAATAAGAGTTGACAGGCTAAACACGACTCCTAAGCTCGTGATAATGTGAAACGTGACCTTGTGAGTTTGCTTGAACAGAGGTTTTTTTATTTTCTCGGCTCTCGCGCGAAGGTTACTAGCACTACACAGTACATGTATCATTCTAAACTTTGACTGAGTAAATTTTTTTTTGCAACACCAGGCTTAACATTAAAAGGTCATGAAGTTGGTTTGTTACATGCATACCGAGTAACCATTTCCGGTGGTTTATTCTTCTGTAGGTCATTCCTGATAGGATTTGATCTCAGATGCAGTTGTATAGTGTTTTCATTTTCTTTGACCTTTGTTTCATACGGCTAAGTAAAGACAATTCCAGCGCTGTGTAGTTTAAAGACGCTATTTCGGCAATTTGGTCATCACTTATGCTCTTTTTAAAGCGGAAATCACAATCACTTTACATCTGCTCCCTAAATTGGGAAATATGTGCGAAGGCTCATCTAACATGATTGACATATGTATGGCCCTCGACCAATCCGTTTCCCCGCACACTGGTGTGCGGACTATTCAAAATACCGGGGTTTTCTGGCAAGCGGTATTTCAACCGCCTCGTCCCTACTCCCTTTTTTTGGAACACGGCTCCGCCGCCAAAACTTTAATCTCGCACCCACACAATACCGCCAGCTACGCAGGCTAACTTTAAGGGAAAAAAAAGATTTAAGTTTTGATGACCTTGCCGGTCCCGTGAAATAGATGGCGATCCCGCAACACGGCCCGTAAAACAAATTAACAATTCACGGACACAAAATATCACAACGGTTTACACAAGCAGATTATAGCAGCACCAAAGTTCACAAACATTCGATCAAATAAGCGATATATAGCGATATTTGCTCGCTTCTTAGCTTTTCCTCGACCTCGCTCGTCCAAATAACTGTTGCATCTCTTGGTAGTTTGCACAAGTGACCCGAGGCTCTTGCCCGTTACTATGTGACGTCATACTGGCAAGCGGAGTGGGTCAAGAAACTTACGTGAAAAACAATAGAGTTATCTTCCCCCCTGGGGGCACCCAACGAGAGTATAGTCGAAAAATACTTAAACATAGCATTGTTAAACGTATTTTAGTATTTAAACGGTAGATATAGGCATATTTTTATCCTCTAAAAATCTTTCATCTGTTCGGATTTCCTAGCTGAAAGTCTAGTGATCCGAAAATTATAGGAATCAAAACTAAAATTTTCAGAAAAAAGGCTCCCGAAAATTCTAGGTGAACTTTTTAGAGTAAAAATTGGGTGCCCCTGATTGTTCAAGGAGTCAGTCAGCCTTCATAGTTTGGTCATTTATTGAAATAACTCAGGACAAGGGGGCAGAAGATTACAACAGACTTCAGGCAGTTTTAAAGGTACGAGTATTTGTTGGACAAAAGCGTGGTCTGTAATTTATTACAAATCTGATGGCATATGTGTGTACCTGGCCACCAGTTATAAATAGGTTTAGAAAAAAAAGGTAGCAAATGATGAAGATAGCAGAACATAAATTTGACGACATGGAAGTTAGAAATACCAAATATATCTAAAATCTTGAGTTTGGCAAATCATGGAGAAGTGTGAGCAGGATACTCTGAGCTCAGTTAGTAAACCCGCGGACAGCCCCTTTTTGTAAGAGATAGATTCTGTTCAAGTGAGTATTGTATGTGGATGACCAGACAATATCAAAGTCCCTCATGTAAGGATATATAAGGGTATAATAAAGGGATAATGGTGCTGGTAGCCAAAGATAGCGTGACCTATAAATTATTCCGACAGATTTTGCTATATTGCTACAGATAAATTTATGTGTGATTTCAAGCAAAGCTTTTTGTGAATATAAATGTTGTGGTTCAATTTTATCCTTGGTTTACATTTATTTTCTTTTGTTTTTGGGTATGGTAATGTATGATAATGACTTTGAAACAAAAAAAAATAGTTAATTTAAACCAAGGATAAATTTGAACCACAACATATACACCTAGAAATTTAATTTCCTGTTTTTGCTCAGGTTGCTCATTATCAAACAAGAAGAGATGTATTGCACGACAGTTTGTTTTGTCGAGATTTGAATATTCAACAATTAATGAATGAGGCTGAGTATCTTATGAAGAATTATCGAGATCGTAACACCTTCGGAGATCTCCATGACTCTTCATATGATACGAAAGCCGAATTCAATAATTGTTCTATTATTCATTCAAAATAATTCCTAGTTTAAAAACGCAGCTAAAACAAGCTTACCTGCATCGATGTTAAGTTTATCTTCGATAGTTTACTCTTAGCTTTGTCCAGCTCCGCAAATATTCTCCAAATAGCAGAAGTCGCCCCGTAGTCCGAGTTGTCTTCTTGCTGTTTTTGCTATGTTTTTAGCCATTATTTCGCCTACTTCCGGCTGTAGTTCTTACTCTTGAAACGAGTGAAGTGTCCGCCTTTTTAATTTTTACAACGAAAACAACTCAATCTCGTCCCCAGGTCTTCTCGGTTAACGGTGCATTAACCTGTAGAAGGCTGCATTTTTGACGTCATTTCCTCGTTAAACAAAAAATTCTTCCAAATTTGGTCATCAGTAACTGGTTATGGTGAATTATGCGTGTGCTTTTAGCCAATCAGAATTGGGGAAATATTTTGAATGAATAATAATATTAATACACATTCAACTCCCGATAACTCGCGCCTTCTAGGGAAATCGAAAACAGTTCAGTCGAATTATCGGGAGTTCGAAGGAAACAACCGAGAATTGGGCAATAAGCAAACGGGTGGGGAAGGAATGCAAGTATCAAGCACACCTCACTTCAAGGGCAGCAAGAGATAGGAAATATTTGCCTGCATATTTATACATTTTCCCCGCTATTTGTAATTAGCCAGATTATGTATCGAACAGGTTGTTGAAAATGCATATTTGAATAAAAGCGGCTATGAGCACAGGCTCATAGCCATTTTCCACCAGACCTAGTTGTGTTCATTTTGCCCAGTAAACAGAGCTCAGACAAGCCAGCATATTTTAGCTCTTACTCAAACTATTTGGACGGGAAAAGGCATAAAAATGATACTTTGAAAAAGGAATTGAAGCAACAACGGCTTTAATGATATTCATGATCAGGACACCGGACACGGCATTTGAACTGGACTGACAAAGAAGTACAGACAAAGAATACAAGGTTGTTTTGGAGTAAAAAAGAACGCTCTTACAGTGGCGTTAAGTCTCGTTTGCTTGGATATTAGATCGAGAAATGAGGAGGCGATTAATTCTACACGAAACAGGATTTACTCGCTAAAGGTTTTTCACTCCCTACTTCTGGATATTTACTTTTTATTTGTTTCTGAATTGATTAAATACGCGTGTTAGCGACGACAGGAAATACGTCTGCGGTCGCAGGCTATACGAGTGTGTAGATGCACGAAAAATCAAGGGCCTCGATTCCAAAGAAATTACATAATTGCCAGATATCAAAAAAGTGATTTACATGGCATGTCATTTCGATCATCGCCGAGCCGAAAATAAACCGCACGCTTATCTCAAGACTCATTTGCATACAATGAAAGTTTACAACACCCGACCAGTTAGTCTTTTGCTAATTAAGATTACTCATTTAATTTTCGGCCACCGAAGTATTCACTTGTTCCAAAGTTATCTACGCTTTCAAGCGATAGAATTCGTGGACCCACCCGTTCCGGAAAATCTCTAAACCTAATAGTCAGGTCTCTTTGGGTCAGGATCGTTACAGAGTTGACAAAAGCACCAAACTTTGCACAGCGATAGCTTATTGCAGTACCATGAATATTAGAGGGGGTGCCCACTGCAAATAATTATGCCACTGAAGCGTGCTAAACAGGATTTAATTATTATAGATTTCACCTGCTGGCGTCCCTGTGGTGTTTTGATTGAAAATTGTTATTTAATACCTTAAATCACTCTGAATTCTATTCTCAGGTTGTAAACAACAATTTCACTCGAACATCTGACATTCCCATCCATTTATGCTTATTGATTGTATAATTAAGTTGATTATTACTGTGCCCTTAAAGCAAGTCCACAGTCCGCCCACATTTTCATAAGTCATTTCTAAGATGGCCTCGTCTTTGCTTCATAACTTGCAAGTACTCAGCTTCTGGGGTCTCTTCTCCTTTTCTAAAGTATTTCAATTAGAGGAGGCCTTATTGTGTGGCTTAAGCCTTATTTATCAAGTATTACTTGTCATTACATGTCACTTTAAGCTGAAGAAAGCAAACAAAATTTCAGAAAAAAGAAATTGTCAAAGAGTCTGTTGTATCCCATATTATCAGAGATTTATGACAGCTATTCATGAAGAGCAAATAACGAAATGACAGAACCCAAAATAGTTCTTTCCTAGGGAGGTAATTAATTTTTCAGCTTAACATAGGCCTGGATGCCTTTCAGTCTCTCTTTATCCAGTTATCTGCTGGACGCAAGTGCATGTTTTGACAGAGAAGCAAGCACCGTGGCACAAGTCATATCATTTACAATTTCCGCAGTTTGTCTAAGCTTTACAAAGCAAAAACAAACAAAAAAGAATCTGGTCTCATAAACGAAAAAAAGAAACAAGTTAGCCCAAGCTTCAAAAAACAGCACAGTTTATCATGAAGCCTCTACATTTGGCACTGAAGCACTCATGTCCAAAAATAATAACAGCTTATCAAGTCGTAAAAGTGAGACTCAAGTGGTACAAGATTGACTCAAATGATAAATGGTGAATAGTTTAACTGCTGAAACTGTAGAAAGGGGGCCGGGCTAACTTTTAGGGCCTGTTTACATGGAGGAAGGGGACCCCAGGTAGGAATGGTAACCCACTTAGGTGGGGTAACCCGCCTGTCCATATAATCTCTCATTTTAATTTGATCACGTTTACATGATAGGTGGGGTCACCCTTCAAGGTGGGTAGCCCGGTCTGCCACACCAGGTAACCCTCTCAGCTGAGGTCAAATTTTGCCATGTCAACGTTTCAAGGTGAGGAAACCCAGGCTAGTCGGGGTCGGATTCGAGATACATCAAATTCGCGCAAAATTCACTTTGGCGCTGGGTGGCTTCACATAATTATTAAAGGTAACAATAGAAAGCCACAACACTGAAGGTTGCAGCAAGAGCAGCAATTGAGCGTAGACGTGGTTTGCCAGCATTTTTCTTGTTTACATGGTTAGCGACCATTCATATAATCTTGAGAAACTGCACCCCAGGATGGCGGGGTTGTAAGATTGCATGTAAAGGAGGGTTATTTTTTTACCCCACCTAAGCAGGTTACCTCACCTACCTGGGGTCCCCCACCTTTATGTTAACAGGCCCTAAGTCTCAGGAACCGTGAAACTGGTAATAAACGGTATACCTAACCCGGGACTAGCTGTGATACTACCGGCCATCTTCAAGAACGTCAGCATAGCAGCCAAAGAAGCCATTATATCGGTGTAAAACGAATATTAGATTGCGGTTGTTTCATGCGTCTTGTTTTGTGACTATTTCTGTGTTCGTTTTTGTCACCATCTCTAAATATCAATCATGTTCAAAACACCCCTACTAACAAAATATTTCGTAAAGCTCTTTAGAATGATATTCAGCAATAAAAACAAGGTGTGACCAGGAGCCGATTTCTAGGCTCCTGGTGTGGCAACATAGGCATAAGTGAATGCAAAGTTTTGCAGTATGTAATCTGTCAAAAATCTGTTTGAGTGGTCAAAGTTGGGGCTGATGGGCTTCTTTATCATGACCACTCCATTATTATAAGGGACCAGGCCATAATTATTGTTGACCCTTGCTTTTTTGGTATTTTAGGTAATTTTCCACAGCATTATTTTGTGAAAAGCTGGTAACTGAATTGCTCTTGAGGAATTCATGATCGTAAGATTTCGTAACCACGGGGTATTCGCCTAATTGCATCAAACAAATTACATTCATTTTCATAAATGATGCATCATTGGTTGGCTAAAAGAGGCCTTGTTCCTGTAAATTTCAGCTCTTCTGAAGTTAGTTTGTTTGTAAATTGTAACGCACGCGACGACCTTCCTTTTTTTTGAAAGATCGTATAGACCTACCATTAACACTCTGGTCCAAGGGCTCTGAAGTGAATGAGCCGCTTACAGGTGTATAGGCATGCAGGGACCTCATACACTTCTTTTTAAATGCAAATGTGCAAAAAATAAAGAGTGTTAAAAATTCCTGGAGAGGCATGTTTTACAACCTCGTCCCCAGGGCTTAATAAAAAGGTAGAAAAAGGTAAAGCGACCATATTTTACGTCAATAACTCGTGACAGTAATAATAAGTGATAAACTTGAGGTCGACGGTGCGCTCCTTTTACCCCCCTCTCTCCATTAATTCTCCGTTTTAAAGGTATTTAAAGCTAGTCAAAGCTACACAGAAAAAAGAGAAGTTGAAATAAGGAGGTGTTGACACCGGGCTCGAACTCGGGACCTCTCGCCCCGAAGGCTGCGCACTAACCAACTGTGCCACCCTTGCTCCTCCTTTTCCCCCTGAGGACGAGGTTGACATGTTTTAATCATTATCTCAAGGACAGGGTTACCAACGAAGCAAATTATAATCTAATCTTAGCTGCACAATTACAAAGTGGGCGCGTTGTCAGTTACGGTTCATGAGGTCGTTCATGTGGCATGTCAAACTTTACGATTCTATCGTTTAGGATGTGATACATTTGAGTTTTATGTTATTGTATGACATCTTTGAAAGCTGGCTTTGTGATCTGTTTAAATTGATATGTAATGATATTATCACTGGCAAGTCTTGGCAGTGACACTGATAGCCGCATAGTCTGCACAATGAACATGGCCACACTTACCGTGTGGAGACTGGGCACTAGTCAGTATTATGTACATGTAAAACTATTTTGAATAGTGCAACAACAACTAAACATTACCAAATTAAAAACTTAAAAATTTGCAACAAATGTTTTTTAGCCAAATCAAACAAGAAGAGTACTCACCACAGGGCACCCAATCTGCTATTATAGGTGAAAGTTAACCTCCCCTCAGTTTTATCTGTAATTAGGGCCATTTGTAAGGGGCATCCCCTCCAGTATTAATCGGTAGGTGCTAAGAAAGCTTGTGCCAAATTTGACACTTTTGTCACGTCTGTAACGATCCGACCTATATTTTGCACTAAGAGACCTGACTATAAGCTTTCTTCGCCTTCGCGAAACATGCGTTGTTTCGGTCACGCAACGAATCTTATTCCCAGTTTCCATGGTCTCCGCTAGGAACGCCTGGTACTACAGCCGTCGTTTTGTGGAGGCATTTTGTGTACTAAATACGAAGAAAATAAAACGGCTTGCAGATTATGAGTCTCGCTGCTTACTAATTAAATGTTTCAGACCGCAGAACATTGTCTTCTTTCGTCTTGTCACGCTCTTAAAACATAGTTCGAGTTATCGAGGGTAAAATTATATAGAAATGATGTAACGGGAAAAACAAATTACTTAGAGTTAGCGAGAGGTTCGAGTCATCGAGGGCTCGAGTTACCGAGGGTAAAATTACAGGAAATAAATGAAGGAAATCGAGTGGAAACGGATTTTGGTTCGCGTTGGCGCGAGGTTCGAGTTAGCGAGGGTTCGAGTTATCGGGAGTCGACTGTATAAAATTGACTTAGTTGCCACGCAAAAGACATACTTAGAACACCGATACAATTAAAGGAAAGTGCTGTTGGCTTTAATATCAATTCAGTTGTGCATAATTTAATGGCCCGGGGTGAACATTCCATTACTTCCTCGTAAAAAACACAAACCGAACAATAATCTTCGACTCAAAACTAACAAAATGATTTGTCATTATTACTTAATATGCTTCTATCTAAAATTACTTCTAGTAACACACCAGATTTGTTCCAGTCGCTGTTTGGTTTAGAGGAAAAATGTGTTAATAACTGATGGTAAACAAACGAATTGGGGTGGAAAAGGATGGAATGGAAACACAAAGGCAAGTCATTCCTTCTCCGACACCAACAGCGCAAAGCACTCGTCTGTTAGGCTTAGCTCTGCTGTTAGTTTAGCATAATGCTTGTTTAAGTGAACAACAACAACATTTTACAGGCCAGCATTTTTAACTCGTGTATTTACCTCAGAATATGTCTTTTAAAAGACGAGAAAAGAACCGGGAATACATGAGTGTTAAGTCTTCAGTCTGTGTATTTTGAGCTCTTGGAGATATACATTGTTTTCACGTTGAGTCTATAAATTTGGTGTCTCTTTCACTGATCTTTCGGCGAGGTGACGACTGGAGGACTCAGTTACGTGAACATGTTTGACGACTTGGCGCCGACCTGTTTTGCTCGCCAGCTTCGCTCGGCAGTTAATGAAAATGATCCAAACAAGTGGGCCCTTTTGGTAGAACGATAAAAGTGGCTTTGTTTTCGTCAAAGCAATTTGGTTTTTAATTCTACCAACTTAATGCGAAAACTTACCAGGAGTGATTTTTCTGGCCATCACTACGAGGTCAAGGATGTTGGCGAGTAACTCCGTCTCTTCAACGCTTTCGGAAAGAAGGTCTATTCTCTTCATTTGTTTGTTCAGCTCCAATTCTACTCTCAGAAAACCGGCACAGTAAAACACAATCGACAAAACGGAAAGAATCCAGGCAAAACACGGCCATTTCTGTTTATGAGCGGTCATTTTCCTCCATAGATATTGTAAGGTTTGAGAAACTGTTCCTCTTGACATACGATACCTTGGGTATCGTGCCAGCTTTGTTCCGCTCTTTATGCCAAACTTCATAACTTGTTATCCACACGGGTACATATGGGTAACAATCAGTAACAGAAAGATAGGCGGACTAGGGAGGCATACGAATACAAACGAGTAACATACCAATGCCTTTTATTTTAACAGTTTTGAAAAATGCAACTTAAGTAAACCATGTAAACATTCATTTTTAATATATAGATTTAGCCAGGGCTAAAAGCGAAGCTCCCGTTAATAAATTCATAATTTAAATCAAACAATAAACTTGTAATCCACAGAGCAGGGCATATTCATTTGACTTTTGAGGCAAAGGCTAAGTGATTTTAGAGAAAAATAATTTGACAGTCCAAGAGTGAAACAAATTTTACATCGAGTTATTAAATACTCTTATTTGTATACCCAAAAATAGCAATCATGTTCGATCACAGTAGATTAGGCCTGGAAAACAAATAGACCTATTCGTGTATTGTATTTGCATTAGCTGTTGCATCATAATGTGGCATTCACCAGTCTCTCCAACATTGCTCCGTTAGA